GTTAGTGGTCCTAGGCCAGGGCCCCGATAAAGAGAGACTTTACCCACAGGAATAATTATATAATACACTCTTTACTTTAAACTTTTAAAATTGTGATCCAGACAGCTTCATAGCAGGGGAAAAACATTTTATTCCCACAAAGGAAAGACCGTAACTGGCCTAGAAGGGGTGGGCCCTATAGAATTGCTCACTTGGGGGAGTGGGTGTGCATCTGTTTTATCACCAGGTGAGAACCCCATCCCAAGCTGCAGAGATGTGCTTCCCCTCCAGGGATAGGTAACAGAGGGAGAACAAATCTGTTTCTTTCTGCAGCACAATTCTCTGGATCTCTGTGGAGAGATTAAACACCTTGTCGAACAGGCTGAACAGACTACAAAAAGCCGGCACCTTTTCACCTCTTCCCAGCCAACTCTAGGACGGCAAAGGTAAAAGGGTTCCTTTCATTCTGCTTCTGTTTAATGGTACCAAAGTAGTGGGGTGCTATGCTGGACACACACGCTCACCCCTCCTGCTCTTGATAGTCACCGGGGAAGACCCTGAGCCTTCCCTCTCCTCCAGCGATACTGCTATGGTGCCTCTGTGTTTGGCAGGCACCTTCCTAAACCCAGTGTTTCTGTGTGTTCTCATCTGTGGGTGCCTGTAGGAGGTGCTCTAGATTTGGGGTGGACTTTGTGTTGGTCCTCCAATCTGTTGTTCATCTTGTTTACAACCTAACCCTTAAAAACTGGGGATCCCATAACCTAATGATGTTACAGTTCAGCCCTAACCCTTAAAAGCTGAGGATCCCATAATCTAATGATGTTACAGCTCAGTCCTAACCCTTAAAAGCTGGGGATCCCATAATCTAATGATGTTACAGCTCAGTCCTAACCCTTAAAAACTGGGGATCCCATAACCTAATGATATTACAGCTCAGTTCAACCTGCAATTATGGTTTACCTTTCATTATGGTGGCAGCCTTCCCTTAGGGAATCCTGCGCTTGCTGCACCTTTATCATGTCTTTTTTCTAGCACGTATTTATCTCCCTTTTAAATAACCTTAGCTTTTCCTTTCTTTCCTCCCATTGTCAAAATTGGTAGCTATCAACATATAGATAACCTCACACGGATTGCTATGACACCTCTGATCATGTCATGATCTGCACTTCCTGCCCATGTATTCTGGTCCTAAGAAAGAACCTATTTTCACTGTTTAGATTTCATGTGCCTCCTCAGTACCATCCTTTTAAGGCTGTTAATATTAAAACTACACATGGCTCACTCCATGTGCCAATAATAATAGCATTTTTTTTTTTTGTACTGGGAATCCAACTCGGGACCTTGCGCTTGCCAGGCAGGTGCTTGTACTGCTGAGCTATGTCGCCGGCCCAATAATAGTATTTCTCAATTAAACATTAGCTCATACTGTGGTGCTTATACTAAGGCCAAAGCCTAGCTCCCCAACTATATTACGTGCCACTGGCTGGGAGACTCTACCCTTGAACCAACTACCTGACTCGGAAATCTCAGGCAAAAGCAGCTTTGGCCATTACAGCAGCAGTGGGACCAGCAGCTACTGCAGCTGCAGAGCCGGCACCCTTGTTCCACCAGACCGCCCACATCAGGTAAGGGTACTTTCAAACTTGTATTCAAGCTCAAACCTGTCTTGATACAGAGGCAGCTGCCAGATGACTCAGCATACATCAGTAGTTCTTCGGACACACCCTCACTCAGCTGTGACACTGGTCACCATCCCACATGAATCACGCCTATTCCATTTAACCATTCAGAATCTTGGGAAGAGGATCAATATCTTCTCCCTGGTGCTGCTCATACAAATCTAGACATTGAAATGACTGGTCTTCAGGGCCGGTTTCAGGCCCAACTTTATAAACTTCAAATGGAAGCTTCTAAATTTTTTTTTTTTTTTTTTTTTTGGTACGAAATCAAACTCAGGACTTGGCTGGGCGTGGTGGTGCACGCCTGCAATCCCAGCACTCCGGGGGCTGAGGCAGGAGGATCGTTGCGAGTTTGAGACCAGCCTAGGATACATAAGTGAGCTCAAGGCCAGCCTGAACTGCATAGCAAGACCTTGTCTCAAAAAGGCAAAAAAAACAAAAACAAGAAACTCAGGACCTCCTGCTTGTCAGGCAGGCGCTGTGCCACTGAGGTACATCCCTAGCCGGTGTAATATTTTAGATCATCTCACTGATATGGTCTATGGGCTTAATCCCAAGAGCTGGTTCTCTGGTCTCCACCTTCTCATTTAGATTCTTATTGCTATAGGAATAATCTTCATTCGCTTTCCTGCAGTCCTACAGGGCCCAATGGTATACTATTTCAACTGATGCCACATGCTGAAGCCCAATGACCTCTCCCCACCAAGCCCGATATCCCTCCTCCCTATGTGGGGTGTCAGCCAGAGGTATGCATGAGATGAACATGCACAGGGGTAAGGGACTTTTGGAGTCACATGCCCCAAACCTTCTGGAATGCATGGTTAAAGATTAATATAGCCAGGGGCTGGGGATTTAGCTCAGCTGCAAAGCACCTGCCCGGTAAGCACAAGGTCGAGAGTTCAGTTCCCGGTACCAGAGAAAAACCAAAAATAAACCAAAAAAAAAAAAAAATTAATATAGTCTACCAGGGCAGTACCCATGTCTGTCAAACACATTGCCTTCAGGGATGAATGCTCTGGCCTTCCTTCTCTTCTCCTACTCTATCACTTAGCTTGGTCCCAGGATCAGTCACTTAACAGGCCACCCTGACCTCCCGGCCTCCTACAGGAGTTCCTGCCCAGACACCCTTCATCTTCCTTCCACGCTTGCTTCCTGGTTCTATCAATAAAAGGCCAGAGGGGTTGGAGTCTGGGGTTGTCCTGAGACCCGAGCTGTCTCTGATAAGGGCTGCTCCGCTCTCGATAGGGACTCTAAGTAATCCGTTTTGTCCTTTGCTCTGTGCTGCACCCGTCATGAACTGTGCCAGGGTATTAGAAAAATGTTTGTCAGGTCCTAGAAAGGCAAGATCCCTAAGCACTTAGGGAAGCAGGGAAGTGAAAAAAAGGAAAGCTAGAGTTCTGGGCAGAATTCAGTTTCCATGAAGCACGGAAGCAAGCAAACCCCCAAGATTAGTGTCAAGAGCTACAGGCTGTGGTCCTAGCAAGTGCAATCTTGCGCCTGTGATATACACAGCAAGCCCATTTTCCAAGGTTAGGACAAACGAGAATGAAGTGTGCTGCAAGCATGTACTAATGAATAAAAAAAAGCAGGGCAAGAATTGAGAAAACAATTGGGCATCATCTCAGCACTTGGGAGGCTGAGGCAGGAGGGTCATTGCCAGTTTGAGGCCAGCCTGAACTATATAGCAACACCCTATTCTCAAAGAATTTGAGAAAACCTGAGCCTGTGGTGAGACAGCGAAGTGCTGGCAAAGGGATGTGGCTTACTTGTGCCAATCAAGTGGCAGTACCAGGGCCACGTTTCTACCTTTCTTTGGCAATGGCCTTGGGCTAGAGGGGCCCACAGTAATCCCTGGGAGACCCACTAGAGGGTGAGCTGCACTGAGCTCTCACAGGCTGTCCTCTGTTCAGCAGTGCTGACGGGCTGACAACTGCAGACACCACCAGCTAAGGTCTTAGCCAGCTAGTGCTGGCCAGCACCAAGTCATCCGCGGCCAGAACCCCTTACCCCCAGGAGCCACCAGGAGCAGGATCTCACTCTCAGGAAGCAGCCATAAACCAGACTAAACCCTGCCGGGTGCTTCTGCAAATCCACTAGGATCTCCTGGGTGGACTCACCTGTCATCTTTGTGTGACTGTTGTGGAAGTGACAGGAGCCAGAGCAAGAGTAACACAGGCCTCTGGCTTGGATGCTGGGCATAGGGACACTTGGCTACAGCAGAAGGCGGGCAGTCTTGGACTGGTCAGCAACTGACAGGTGGAATCTCCCGTGTGTTCCTCCCCAGCCAGACTCAGATGAGCTCCACTCCCTTCCCAGGCAGAGCTTCCGGCTCCCTCTTCCAGCTCCCCACCACCGTGGTTCTAAGCGGCAACACTGCCCGAGAATCCTGAGACTTCCTTGAACTCAGAACCCACTGCAGCGTGGTTCTGCAGAGCCAGTGCCTGCCATGAGAAACAGCTGAGTGGCTCGGGACCTCCTCACATCAGCAGGAGCCTAGGAATGTGACCACACAGTGCAGTCAACATACTCATCAATGTGAATGGTGCAGGTCCCTCAAAGCTGGGTCCAATCTATCCCATTTATTCCTTTAGAGTGTTTTCTTCTGAAGCTGGTGATGGTGGCACATGCCTGTAATTCCAGCACTTGTGAGACTGAGGCAGGAAGTTCTCCATGGTTTGAGGCCAGCCTGAACTACATAATGAGACCCTGTAAAAATCACTGGCAATGAACATCGTTATAAAAACAGTTCAGGATGCAGCTACCAGCATTTTAAATAAAAATGTATAGAAAACTGACGAAGTACTGACATAGTACTCCATGAAAATTCTACGAGAAACAAAACTCTCCCATAGGTTATACACACGGGAAATCAACACTGAAAAGCTAAGGACTACACCCCAGGTTTGCCCGAGGCAGGCCTGCAGACACCAGGAATCACTCAGGCACTGGCCACACTTCAGTGAACAGCAAGACTATTGTCACTAAGAACAACCTACTACAAGTGTGGTGGTGCATGCCTGTTTGGGAGGCTGAGGCAGGAGGACCACTGCGAGTTCCAGACCAGCCTGGGCTACAAAGTGAGCTCCAGGCCAGCTTGAACTGCATGGAGACCATATCTCAAAATGAGTGAATGAATACATCAATCCAATCCACTACAGCCTGGACCCTGTATCAATGCAAATGCAACACAACTACCATCAGGACTTGGAAAAAACATGCCTGGGGCTACTACCCATGCACGTACACTGCCTACTAGCAGTTGTTATGCATCCACAGTGGCCTGGGTTTAAGGAGAAGTACAGAAGTTCCAGCCATTGTGAACTGCAAAAATTAGAAGACAACTTTTAAAAACTGGTGTTTTATTTCCCATCAACCTCACTTCCATTGTGCTGAAGTATCTGCAGAACAGCTCAAGACCACTCAGTGGTGGTTCCCACCCACTCAGTGGCCTGTGCAGTGGGGGCTGCAGACCAGTCTTCCGTGGCCGGCTGCGCACTCCAGTCTTCTGTTAAGGAAAGACCAAAAACCCGTCAGTGCTATCTCCAAAGCACTACTTGTCACCACCCTGTCCCAACAGCATCTATGAAGCATATTGCACAGCTTGTCAGGTTCTTTTACCAGCAATGAAGACACAACCCTCAGGGTGAAGCCCTTGGACACGTACCGGTAGGGAACTGCTGAATAGGCACAGAGGGCACCTGCACGCCTTCAGACCAGTCTGCAACCTCTGGCTGAGCAGCAGTGAACTCGGGAGCTGGTGCAGTCCATTCACCCTGAAATTCCTCCTTCGTCACAGCCTTCTCAGCAGCTGCCTGCTCTTCCTTTTCAATCT